TTGAGAGATCTAATCCACAGAAAAAGCATTACTCTGAAGTGATGACCATCAGATATAGAAGAAAAACAAAGATTTTTATGTATGAAGAAGTGAATCGATTAATTGGAAGGACTTGTGCACATGAGATTGGGGCAAGTCAATCTTAAGCTTTCACTGAAGAGTTGTGAAGCAATCAATCTTAAGCCTTCACCAAAGAGGAGTGAAGCACCATCCTAAACCTTCACCGGAGAATAGTGAAACAAACCATCAGAAGCCTTCACTGGAGAGTAGTGAAGCAAATCAATCTTAAGCCTTCACCGAAGAGTAGTGAAGCAAATCCATCAGTAAACCTTCCGAGCATGATGATTAAGTCCTCTGAGCCATCTTAAGCCTTCACCGAAGAGTAGTGAAGTAAATCAATCTTAAGCCTTCACAGAAGAGTAGTGAAACAAATCCATCAGTAAGCCTTCCGAACATGATGATTAAGTCCTCAGGGTAATCTTAAACCTTCACCGAAGAAGAGTGAAGCAAACCATCTTAAGCCTTCACTGAAGAATAGTGAAGCAAATCAATTTAAAGCCTTCATTGAGAGTAGTGAAGCAAATCCATCTTAAGCCTTCACCAAAGAGTAGTGAAGCAAATCCATCAGTAAGCCTTTCGAGCATGACGATTAAATCCTCCGGACCATCTTAAGCCTTCACCAAAGAGTAGTGAAGCAAATCAATCTTAAGCCTTCACCGAAGAGTAGTGAAGCAAATCCATCAGTAAGCCTTCCGAGCATGATGATTAAGTCCTCCGGGCCATCTTAAGCCTTCATCGAAGAGTAGTGGAACAAATCAATCTTAAGTCTTCACCGAAGAGTAGTGAAGCAAATCTATCTTAAGCCTTCACCAAAGAGTAGTGAAGCAAATCAATCTTAAGCTTCACTAAAGAGTAGTGAAATAAATCAATCTCGAGTCCGACTTCCCCAGCAGAAATGGTGGAGCGAATCCCATATCAAATTTTTAAAGCAATGAGAGAGAATTGAACAAAAACTAGTTGTCTTTTTTGTCTTTGTCTATTCTTGTTAACACAAGAATGCAAAGAGAGACAACTGTAGACACCCATTTTTAACCGGGCTTAAAAATATTATAATTATTATTATTATTATTATTATTACTATTATTATTAATAATAATATTATTTTATAATATTTACAGGCCTCATCTCAACAGCCTAATTACATAATTACTCAGAAGCCTAGCAAATCCCGAGCCCAGATTACAAGTTTCATACAACTCATACCCAACCCAGTGACCATTACCCCAGCCGCTGTTCAAATTACCCGTTCTCATCAGTGCATGAGCCAGTCACCAAGCCAAATCACTACATGCCACCATTGAAGCTGATACTGCACGAATTATCAAGGAAAAACAATCAGTCATTGAAAATATCATTATTTTCACCTAAACACATCAACATACTACCAAACACAAGGAAATCAAACAAAAGGACAAGAGACTTTCGGTGAAAGCAAAGAAAAAACAGAAACGAGGGAACATGGATCAACAACAGGGGGCTCGGTTTTTGAACGGGTAAAAAGGACTATTCGAATAAAGGGGGTTCAATCATTCTTGAAAGAGGAAGAGGGAGCTATGATTCGAACAGAGGCAACCATTAAAAATAGAGGAAAAATCAACAACAGGTAGGGGTTCATTCAACAACGAATAGAGAGGGTACCGTTCGAGAAGAGGAAAAAGGGAATTTAATCAATGAAGGAGGAAGGTCTCTCGGCTTCCATTTTCTCTCTTGAAATCAATGTAAAGGGACTATTTCTTGCATATTTTAAAAAATGCAATAGAATATATAGAAACCATAATAGTTTTTGAAGTATCTTCCATCTTTCTTTAATTTTCCAGAAGCTTCGTCTGTGTGTGTGGGGTTTTCAAATTAAAAAGAAAATAAATAGAGAAAGGAAGCAAAGTAGTTTACCTTAGCCTTGAGAGGTGGTCACAGGGGTTTTGAGTTTGTATGCTCGGTTTTGAGTGGGTGATTTTAAAACAGAATAAAGGGGTATCGATTTAAGTTTACATGAGTAAAAGTGAGCTGAACGTAGGCCTCTTTGGCCCTCTCCATGGTCACCATAATCGTTTCTTTCCCGGGGTAGAGAGTGAGGTTCGGTCGTGTGTGTCTCGAAGTGAGGTTTTGAGAAATAAAAAAGCAGAATGAAGAAGGGAGGGATTAATCAGTCTTACCGGTCGTGAGGTCTCGAAGTCGTTTTGAAGCTAGGCTTTTAAAGTTTTGTTTTTTGTGGTTTAGACCTTAAATCGAAGGTTAAAAGAGTGAGGCGAGGTTTATGTTGATTCTGGTGGTCGGTTTAGGTCACCGGGCAGTCGTGTATGGTGGCTATGGTTTTTGTCCCCTGGTTCTGTCGAGGGAAAAGTGAAGAAGAAGATAAGGAAGGGAAAGAGAGATAACAGTGCATAGGATTTGTTTTAAGGAAAAGTAAAAAGCAAATGAAATTAGGTTTAGTTTTTTACTTTATATATTTTATATATATTAGAAAACAAAAACAGATGTGATTCAGTGGATTAGTTTATACGTGTTTTTGTAAATGGGATAATAGTGTTCGAAATCTTTAGTTTAGACATGTTATGTTTTAGTCCTTCAATCGAATCTTTCATGTTTTTATTTTGGTATTCATATTTTAAGTGTTTTTCTTTCTAGTCTTAAGTTTATGGTTTTGTTCATTTTATGATTGTTCTTATATTTGGTCTGTAACTTGGTTACTTTATGATTTAATTACATAAGATGTTTAATTAAGGTACTATTCAATTTACATTTTGGTAGCCTAACTTCATTATTTGTTATTTTCATCCTTTTTGGCATTATTAAATTTAAGATTAGGCTTTTTACAGTAGATTTAATTTTATTTTTAAGTAGTGACATTTATATTATTGTTTTGTATGTGGTATGTGCATTTTTTATGCATGTATGTATTATATAATTATATTTTATTTTTAGCTTTAAGTAAATGAAATTAATATTATTTTTGTAGTTAAAATGGTAAATTTATATTCTTTATTATTTAATACCTAGTTTAAATAATCTACTTAGTTTCTTAACTTTGCATTTTTAAGTGTTATGTTTCCTTTTATTTATTTTAGTAACATTGATGTATTATTTATTAATATATATATATGGTATAGTACGTGAAAATAAAATATGTATATAATTGTTGGTAGTAAAATAACATTGCATGATATTTTAATCATAATATTTGTTTAATTAATTTTTGCATTAACATCATGTTGCATAATATGTACGACATTTTCATGTGCACAACTTGACATTATTACATAATTGGATTAAGGGTAATATATTTTTAATTTAAAATTGTTTTAAGTGGGTTATCTTATCTGATTAGAGATATGCTTTGATGATTTTAAATTAAAAGTATATCTCATTAGTGACACCTAAAAAATTGATTCATCTCTTTAAAATTTGGGAACGAAAGAAAGGGAAATATTCGTTATTTAAATTTTTCGAGAAAAGGTAGTTAGAACTTATCTAAGATCTCGTCTCGATATTTTTAAATAATCGAATATTCTTTATCTTTTTTAAAGGTTGGGTAATTTTAATTTAATCTATTTTGGTACTTTTGAATATTATAAAATTCGTATGTTTGTTTTTGTTTTGTTGGGGATCGTAAACCAAATTAAAATTGAATTTGTAAATTTCATTGCAAAGACGTTAATTAATCGACTAGGTATCGATTTAGGGCGTTGTGGGGGTGCTAATCCTTCCCCACGCGTAATCGACTCCCGAACTCATTTTCTGGTAATGCAGACCTCAAATTGTCATTTAATTAAAATTAATTTTTATTTAAAATGACAATATTTTTGGGTGCCCAATCACACCCTAATCAAAGATTGGTGACGACTCGAACCCACTTTTTTATTTCACAGGAATCCCAAATTTTTTGAAATGAGGGGTTTTCTAAAATCGTATTATTTTTAATTAAAAATCAATCATAAAGAGGTAAATCAAGAAATGACGTGGTTTTCAAAATCTCGCCTCACTTTAAAAACTGTTTCGACAATTTTTCAAACATTTCCAGCAGAGTACTTAGTAAAAAAAGCTGACCTCGAAAAGATTCAATTGTATAATCTGAGCCATGTGATCAAAGAAGTATAGATGAGAAGAGAAGCATTCATGCAGAGCTAGTGGATTTGGAAGTTGCAGAGTATGAGTCTTATAGGCAAAAGGCAAATGTGCATTCGTTAAAGGAGGGAGACCTCAATACTAATTTTTTTCACCAGAGGGTTGAATCCAATAAAAAAAAGGAATACCATCAAAGTTTTAAAATGTGAAAATGGGCAGTACATGGATTCTTTTGACGATATGGTGTTGAGTTAGTGAATTTCTTCACTAATCTCATTGGTACTGTTGACCCTCCAGTAAAGGGTTCTTCTGTGGAGTGTTTGAGAGATATGCTGAACTACTCTCTGCCTGAAGGTGCTGGGGAAATGCTAACAAATGAGGTGGAAGATAAAGAAATCAAAGAAGCTTTGTTTAGGCAAGGAAATGGTAAAAGTCCAGGTCTAGATGGATATTCTTCTTGGTTCTTCAAGGCTGCTTGGGATGTGGTTGGTAGGGACTTCCTAGCTACAGTAAGGTACTTCTTCTATTCTTCCTCCTTACTGCCAGCTTTTAATGCCACTATCATTGTCTTAGTTCCTAAGTCATTGAATACTTGTATGACAAAGGACTTTAGGCCAATCTCCTATTGCTCTGTGGTTTACAAAACCATTACTAGAATTATCACTACTAGACTTTCTCATATTTTCCCTGGTATGATCTCTACCAGTCAGACAACTTTTGTTAAAGGCAGAAATATTGTAGACAATTCACTGTTAGCTCAGGAGATAGTTAAAGGATATTCTAGGAAGAGTCTTTCATCTAGATGTGCTATTAAGATTGATTTGCAAAAAACTTTTGATTTTGTAAAATGAGACTTCTTGATGATTGTGCTTGAAGCTATGGGCCTCCCTGATAAATTATGTGGTTGGATAAGGGCTTGTGTTACCACCCCTAAGTACTCAGTCTCTTTGAATGAAAGTTTGGTGGGGTACTTTAAGGGTGCTAGAGGGGTTAGACAAAGAGATCCATTATCCTCTTACCTCTTTGTCATGGTTATGAATGTTCTCTCTTCTTTATTGGATGTTGCTGCAAAAAGAGGAGTTTTCAAATATCATCCTAAGTGCAACAGGATCTCCCTTACCCATATTTGTTTTGCCGATGACTTGTTAGTATTCAGCCATGGTTCTCTTGATGTTGTGATGGGAGTCCTGAGCACTCTAGAGGCTTTCTATGAGCTTTCAGGAATTAGACTTAATGCCCTGAAAACTGAATTATATGCTTGTGGATTGACTGAACATGAACTTGAGCAGATCCAGGCTGGTACAGAATTCAGAGTGGGGCAACTCCCTGTTAGGTACCTTGGGGTACCTTTGGTAACCATGAAGCTTACAGGGAAGGATTGTTCAGCTTTGGTGATAAAAATTAAAGGAAAGCTCAGTCAATGGTCTAAAAAGAAGCTGGTTTTGGTGACAGATTGTAGTTTATAAAATATGTTTTGTTCAACATTTTCAGCTACTGAGCAGACAACTCATTCTCCCTAAAGGGGTTATTAGGGACATTGAGAGATTATGCATGAGATTCTTTTGGAAACAAAGTGACACCCCGACTAAAGGAGCTCGGGTGAGCTGGAGCCAGATTTGTTCTTTGAAATCTGAGAGAGGCTTGGGGTTAAGAAACTTAGCAGACTGGAGTATAGCATGTTGCTTCCTGCTTATTAAGAAATTTTTGGTAGGTGAAGGGTCAGCAGTAACTGGGCTCAAATAAAAGTTAACTGGATATGGGAAAATGCTCGTAGTAGGATGAAGAATGTCAGTTGGCATCGCCTTGTTTGGTTCCCTGCTCATATTCCAAAATTCTCATTGATTTCATGGATAGCCATTTTGGACAGATTACTTACGAAAGACAGACTTGTAAAATTTGGAATGGCTACTGACAATGTGTGTAGGATGTGTAGTTCTGGAATAGAATCTCGAAATCATCTATTCTATGATTGTGCTTATACAAAGGAAGTGTGGGGTGCTGTTATGCACTCATGTGGGCTTTATCAGGAATCGCAGTGCTGGAATGAAGGTCTTCAATGGATGTTAGTGAATTTAAAAGGTAAGTCTCTTTTGTGTATCCTAAAGTTAGCTTGGACCGGATTTGTTTATTACATTTGGGAGGAACGAAATCACAAGCACTTTAGAGGGTTGGTTTGTTCGGTTGATACTATTGTTAGTAGAATTAAAGATGTTGTGAGAATTAAATTGTATAGATGTTATATGAAGAGATTAGATGTTGTAAATAGGTAATTGTGTATAGTTTGGGGATTGATTTAATTGTCTACGAGAGTATGTTGTAGCAGCTAGACTGCTTCCTTTTTGGATGAATAAAATCTTTTACTTATAAAAAATAAGTTAAAATAGCATATAATACTCTAATTATCTGACCGGTGTAAAATTAAAAAAGTTTTGCATTGTTTAAGTGAATATATTTTTGGATTAATCTGAGGTAAGTACAAGACAATATATGTTCAAAGATAACTCTTAACCATTTGATTTTGAATGCTCACACCCTTGGCATTTATGGTGTTCAGACCTGAGACCTCAAGAAATAACAACTATTCCTTTACCACCTATGTTGCATGGTTTGTGCGCTATATCATCGTCATCATTAGTGTAAAACTAAAAAAAAAGTACGGTATATTGATTAGGATCCACTTACGCAATGCAATTTTTATTAATTTAGCACAAATTTAAAACTGTTAAGTGAGTGGAAATAGACTCATAAGATTAAATTCTTTTTTTTCTCTAATGATTATCTTCTCATTTTCAACTGTTAATTTCAACCGTTTAATTCCACTTGCCAAACGGCTGAGTTTGCTCAATTGAAAATTCAATTATAAAATAAGGTACTACAAAAGTTGAAGTTTTTTTTACTCTAGAATAAGTATAAAGTAATATTTCTTTAAAAATAATTTTCAATTATAAAATAAGTTAATATAATAGTTGAAGCTGAATATGCTCGATTACGCACCTAAGTGTATCAATTTTCGTATCATATATATGTTATACTATTTTATGATATGTGAATTTAATTCAACCAGAACTCTAGATTTCAAATAAAAAGGATTAGGATAATAATCAAATAACATCATTAATATCAACCTCTGGAAATTGATAAAGTGTGCAAATGATAACTTGAACTATGTTAAAATTATCTTTTCAATAACTAAAACTTTTTGAAAAATATAAAATGATAATTAAAATTTTAATTTAATTACAAAATCATCATCACACAATTAGATTCTATGAACTTCCGACAAGATGATGATGTGATATATTAAATTAAAGAAAAATATTTTATTTGATCACTCAATTGTATTTAAAATTTAATTTTGATGGTTGTTTAATATTTTAGGCAATATTTTCAAAGATAAATAAATAAATTCATTTTTACTAATAATAATTTTTTATATAATTTATATATTTATCATTTTTATATATATATAAATTATTTTAATTACCTAACCAGAGAGAGCCAATGCCAAAGTCACCCTTCACGCGAGGGAACGCCGGACAGACTTACCTCTGCTAACTACGTTTTCTATAGACTGGAATCTATAAAGATACTATACCTTAGTATAGTGCTGCAACCAGAGAAGGCTGTTTCATGCAAGGCGTCCAGACCTACCACGCCCGAGCCGCATCCCCGGCACACTTGCTATATCAACTAAGGCTTCATCCCACTTCATCCTACCAACTATACCTGATATAAAGCCGTTCTAAAAAAATTGAAGAAAACAAGAAAGCAAGAAAACGATAGCGATCGGTAAAAGGGAACACAGCCCATTCCAGATGAGAAAATCAAAGAAATTATATAAAGTAAAAATAAGTGGCATGTTGAAGGCTATCACAAATGAGTTGAGTCTCAAAGTTCTGGTGAAGCCTATCTCGAGAGGAAAGGAGTCCCATATACGTGTGTCTAACCAATCCTTCATTTTAGGTATTTCCGATGAAGGTCAAATCTTATGGATGACAGGGAAGAAGATTTGTTTTTTTCTTCTGCCCCTTATCTTTTAAACTATGAATATTTTATTGGATTTAACTTATTTTTGTGTGTGTGCTGGGGGGGGTGCTTTGTTCATAAATGGTGCTAATGCTGGTTTAATTTGTTATAGATAGTTAGAGTCGTTGATCCTTTCTGGTTTATGAGTTAATCTTTTTTGCTAGGCGATGCTGTATGAGAGTATTGTGCAGGTTCAATTGCAAAGGCATTGATGATTCATTTGCTTCATGAATGATCCTGGTGTGTAAAGCTTAGTCTGGTGAGCCCATATGAGATGCTTGGGGATTCATGGGAGGTCGGTGTAGGATGAGATTTGTTTCTTTTGTAACCACAGATTTCACGTGGGATATGATTGGATGAGTCATGAACATATGGTCAAGTGATAATACAATAAGCACGTCGTCGTTTAGGAGCACCATTTTTCCTCCATTTAGCTCTAGAGAGCGTTTTCAAAAAAAAAAAAATTAGGGAGGTTTTTTAATGAGTCTCCTATCGATGTTTTAATTTATTTCCCTTTTTTCCATCTTTATTTTCTCATTTGATTGTTTTTCCCTTCTCCTTATTCTCTCAAACAAAATAAGTCAAAAGCCCTACCTCTCTCTTTCAAGCAAAAATCCATGATTTATGAATCGTGAATTCCATCTTCTTTAGTGGAGGCTATGAATTCCTTTGTGGTTTTGAAAGGGTTTAGACTCTAAGAAGTTCCTCCTATAATTTTCTTCCAATTTTCAAGTAATTTAGATGTCATTCAGTAACTTATAATGCTCGTTTCGATCATAGAAACGTTTTGGGTGGCTTTTTAGTAGTGAGAGAGTAGAGGGAGTCCTCCAAGAGGAAAGGCAAGAAAAATGTTTTTAGGGTGAGGTTGAGGAGTTTTTTTTGGTTGTTCGGAAGTTGATGTAACACCACATAGCTACTCTTTATTACTTATAGATCAAAGCATGTAACCTGTTGTGTTTGTATAAAATTTATTACATGTTCGGGGTGCATTGGGTTTATGGATTATAGTAGTGATTATTGGCGTTAGAGATGCATGAAAATGGTGATAAATGACCCATAATGATTTTTATAAGCTTTAATGATCAGCCTACTGTAAAAAATAAGCATTGAGAGTGAGTTTAAGAGAATTTTACGAATGTAGGGTAATTTTAGGTTATGGATCGATACTAGATGAATTAATATCGATACCAAATGAATAAGGATAAAATATGAGCATTTTAAAAGAATAATATCCATACTTCTTCTTGGAGCATAAATACTGAAGGCTAGGTATCTATAACATGGTGAATTTTAGCAACTTCGAGGCTTCAAATGGTACATAGGTGACTACATCGTAACAGTCATTAAAAAATTATTAAAAATCAGTCAATCATTCAATATTTGACATGTGGCCTATTTTTTAAAAAAATAATAAATTTTAAAAAAAACCAACATATTTTCCTATTTTTCATGAAATACCCCAATACCTTCGATTTCGACGTCAACCACCACTACCGAAGATCACCGACTCACCCACCTACAGTCAATCTGTCGACTACTTGCCGATCACTCATCCACCGATTAAGATGGATTTCTGTAGGGATTTAAGGTTTGGATTTATGGATTTTAGGGGTTTAGGGATTTGAAGCTACAATTGATGGTTCGACGATGGGTGGATAGGTGGTTGGTGGGGGTCGCAGCGATAGTGAACAGTGACGTGTGTGGTAGATGCTTTGGGGTCAAGGATTTTATAAAAATTATGATTTTAATAATAATTTTAATTTTTTTAAATAATATTTCTAAAATTTTATAAACATTTCATGTGTTGCATTTTAAGTGATTGACATAATTTTTTAACGTCCATTACATTTGAGGCACCTAAATGATAAAATTGATAATGTTAAATATCTAAATTGATAAAAAAAATGGTTTAAGTACCTAAATGAAAAAGGAGATATAATTTAAATTTTTATATGGGTAAATTATAAATTTCATCACTAAACTTTAATCTCTCTCTTATTTTGCTCAATGTACTCTAAAAGTTTTCAATCTCTTCATTGAACTTAATACATTAGATTTTTTGTCATTGAACTTTATTCTCTCTACTATTTTGGTCACTTCGCCGTTAAATAGTTAACAATGTTAAAAATGAATTCGTTTTAAAGTTTACCAAAACGACGTCGATTTGCATCTATATAAAACTTATTTTAACGCCGTTAACTATTTGACGGTTGAGTGACAAAAAAAACCCAATGCATTAAGTTAAGTGAGAAAATTAAAAATATTTAAAGTACAGTTAGTGAAATAGAAGAAAAAGTAAAGTTCAATTACTAAATTTGGTATTTACACTTTTTATATTAAGCCTTTAAGAAAAATCATAAAGCTAAAAATGGGTTTTTAGAAAGTGTAAGAAAGACCATTGAAAGAACAAACCCATCTCGTTTAAGCCTCGAAGTCCATCAACAATTGAAACCCCAAAACTACAAGATTATAACTTTTTTGGCCCAATAGGGAAACCCAAAAAAAATGGTAAAATAAGACATAAACACTTTTTTTTTTGGGATTTATTGTATTTTTTTATGATGTTTATAGAACTCGTCATCTTGACGTGTCAAATTCTAATAAAAAATATTTTTTATTCAAACTCTTCACGCGAGATGACAAGTTTTAATAAAATATAATTCTTTTATTAAATTTTATCACATTTGGATAAAAAATTTAAATAAAAAAATATTATTTTATTAGAACTCATCAGCCTGATTTTACGAGTTTCAAGTCACTATAACAAATGTCATAAATATCAAAATAAATTTTCACACGCTCTATCAAACTATTTTTTTTTTTTTGGTGTATTGGGAAAAAAAACCAAAGATTATATAATATCTAAAATCGAATCCTCTGTACTTTTTCATTTCCTCTTCCAAGAGCCTGAAGGGAGAAGTCTCAGGTATGGCAAGTTAATATACGTTTAAGTAAAAGGCGTCGTTGAAAATGTTAAAAAAGTAGAGCGTCACCTAAAATAATATTTATTTTATCGAAAATATTAATATTTAACGCTATTAAAATAATATTTTTTTATCAAAAATATTAATATTAAGTGCTATTTAAAATATTATTTTTATCAAAAATTAACTAATGAAATTAATATTTTTGATAAAATAAATAAAATTTTAAGTAACACTTTATAAAAAATATTTAAAAAATAATAATATTTTCGATATTATTTTTTCTTTAATCGTATATTAAGTTTGCGTAGGACATAACTACCCGCCTGAAGGGGAAAGATAAACAAACATAAAGCGCATGGCAACTGAGGCGGCGGCGGCGGCGGAAGAAACACCCGCAAAAGTGTGTGAGAAACAGCCACATAAGCTCGAAAGAAAGTGACCTTTTGGTTTGATAACCAATAGAAGCCTAGATAAGGCGCTGCTTGGGGTAGCACCCTACGTAAAGTTTACACCTTTGACACTGTTGAAGAATTTTGGTGGTATTTTAATCAAAAACCCACTTTTTTATTTTTTTTAAAGACCTGTTGATTTAGGATGATTTATTTTTCTATGGAAAAATTGTATTATGGGTTTTCATTTTTGGGTAGAGAAATGGTGTTCCTAGGAAGTGGATTTTATTGGACTTCATTGTATGAAATCTAATCTGAATTTTTAGCATTCCCTCTTTCCTTTTGATTCAGTTTAGTGATATCTTTCTTCGTAAGTTTCAAGGGAATTTGTTTGGTTTCCATTACTTTAATTGTTGTTTATAGTTGTTTTGCTTTGAAAATGAAGGCTGTAACATACTTTGTGTTATGTTTCAGTTTGTATGATCAAATATTCAATCCCAGCAATTTTCCTGGAAATGCTGATTTTCACTTGTTTAAGGCTGGTATTGAGCCCAAATGGGAAGATGCTGAGTGTGCTAATGGAGGAAAGTGGTCTGTTGCTAGCAACATGAAGTCTAATCTTGAGAGCATGTGGCTTGAAACTGTAAATTTCTTGTCTCTAGTAGTATGTTGTTACTCCTATATGTGGTATTTTACCTTATTTGGCTAGCCGGTTGCATTTTATGGGCAGTTGATGGCGTCGATCGGGGAGCAATTTGATGATGCGGACGATATTTGTGGCGTAGTTGCCAGCGTACGCCAAAGGCGGGACAAACTTGCATTGTGGACCAAAACAGCAGCAAATGAGGCTGCTCAGGTCTTTATCTTAGCCATTGTTGATACTTCGAATCTGAACTTTTTTTTTGTCCAGCCACATTTTGTATTCTGTGGAACCTAACGCTCATATTATTTTCACTATATAAGTTTTATTGTTTGAATCCTTGTGCTCATGAATGAAGTTTTGTAATTTCTACTTGGAACTTTCATTTGTGATCACTCTGCAAGAAATTACTTCTAGTCACTGCAAGAAATTATACGATCGTATTTATATTGATCATTTTTTGCTCTGATGAGTCGATGAAAGGCTTAAACCTATCTGATTGCTTCTGCTGCATTGCATAGAATTGATTCCCGTGTCGGCTAAAGCTTTTGTTGCAACCACGGGTTCATGTATTCAATTAGAATGTGAAATAAGATTATGTATCTTGATGTAACAATTAGGTGCCCCTTTCAATCCATGGTTCATCCGTTTTTTTAGAATTCGAAAAGTTCAGCTTTTTTCTGGTAACCAACCCGTTTTGTGTCTTTTCCCAGTGATGCCTCGAGACCTCATTTTCTTTGCATGTGAGCTTATTGTTTTCGCATTTATAAAGTATGCTGTCACAATTCGGTATTGCAATGGCACTTGTTGTTTATTGCATATCTTTGATGTTTATTCCATATGTTTTGATGATTTTGAATTGGAACCTGTGTGATACAGATGGGTATTGGAAAGAAGTGGAAGGAGATCATTGACATCAATGATAAAATCAATTATAGCTTCCATGCAATCTTTCATTCGACCGATACTTGTGATTTCGGGTGTATATTCTGTTATGGTGACCGACTGTGTTGCGTGTTGCAGGACGACTCTCGGAGGGAAAGATCATCAGATACAACGTTTGAGTTCTTAGCGGTTTCGTTGCCAAGATGTGCACTCTGTTTACTAAATTGTGACAGGAAGGTACTGTAATCTGTTACTTTTGATTATGTAATACCATCAACAATCAGATTCTGGTGTTACAGGCAGTTTTGATATTTCAACAATCAGAATTTTAATGAAATAGTTAAACTATGGCTCAATTTAAAAAAAATGTAAAGATCAATCCTTTTGGACTTGGATCAGTCCACTGGCTGTTGAAACCAAATGGATCGATCTGAAATCAAACATGTCGCATGTTACGAAAATAATATTTATTTTTTTAAAATATTTTTTTAAACTAAAATATTAAAAAAAATTAAGACTCCCAAATTTATTTTTTAAATCATAATTCTTTTTCGAGTTTTATGTTTTCTCAAAAAAAAATTTTATAATTTTTATGAATTTTTGTTTTTCAAATTAAATTAAAAATAAAGATAATTTTTGAAAAATATATAAATTCATAAAAAATAAAAATAGAGATTTTTAGAACTGTTTTGATATTTTTCTAAAATTTTATGGGTTTTTAAATTTTATATATAACATATTAAATAAAACAATTTAACAACTTTTTTAAAAGTCGGTTTTATTTCCGTTTTACAAAACACCAAGATAAATGGTACAATTTTTTTATGGTGTCGAAAAGAACAAAGGGGTTGACTTTCTTCTAGAAATTCATCAGTGAATTATTCCAATCCCAGTTTTAACACTGGGTTTTCTTATTTCATCACTTTTTCTTTTCTTTTGCTTTCTGGGTTATATGTGATTTTCACAAACTAACGTAGCTTAGTGGTTTTCCTTCGAGAGAGAGGTTTATGGAATCTCTTCACCCAGCCGGCTTAATGGGTTAATGATTTGATATAAAAAGATACAACTTTTGTCCCCAAACAACAATTTTGAAGCCAGTTCTGTTTTAGGTTTAGCAGAATCTTGCTTTGCTGGGAGGTGTAACAGTCCATGGATGCCGTCCATAATGACGATAATGGACATGGAAATGAAATTTCAGGTACCAAAGATTCTCCGAAAGTTGAAGTTCATACTAATGGAGATGATTACAGTGAGTCAAATACTTTATTGCCACCAAAGAAAGGTGGGATATCAAGAAAATCTGAAAAACCCGAGCGAAAAGTCCAATGGAATGATAGAAATGGGAATAAACTCGCAGAGATTTTGGTGTTTGAACCAAGGTAATTGCTCCTTTATTGAATTTCAAACTAATTTGTTTGATGTTTGAGACTTTTGTCTTTTGTTTCCCCCTGGTTTTTTTAGATCTGTCATGTAGCTGATTTACTCTGTATTGAACTCTAATATCTGCAAATCTATTGCTCTGTTAGATCGCTTTGGCTTTGGTGAAGTAGCTCTACAGTGAAGAACTGAAATTTTTTATGTAAGCATACAAGCTTTCTGTTGAAAGGGCAATGTACGGTCATCTCTTTTTGTTTTGTATGTAAATGACTTGGAGGGTTTGCTTTGGTGCATATTGGCTGCATTTAGTATTTGATTTTGTCAAGTTTACAATTGTTGTTGCCTTCTCCTACAAATTTGGGACTCATTTAGTAGTTGATCCTTGTAAATGGCCCTTACCAATCTTAGGAAAATGTCTTTGGGGCACTTTCTTGATTGGTTTTGCACATCTCTTCAAAAGTTTTGTTGCCATAAGCTACAGACAGGCAGCATAGGAAGCTAAAATATTGTAAATCTACCTACCATTTTGAAACATCAAGAACTGTCCTTGCAGGATGATTTACTTGGTCTTGAATAGTTGCTAACGTGCTTTTCATTGGTTTCCCATTGTTTCTCTGATATCCTAATGTCTTACCCTTGCCTGCAGTGATGTGAGCGATTCCGATGACGAGGAGTCGGACTCGGATTCCTGTATATGTACAATAATGTAGATGAAATATGGGAAGCAATCAGGGATTATCTGCTGGAAAGATCAATTTTTGGGGCTTCAGTTTCCACCTTGATTTTGGTGATTTTGCTACAAGACAGCCTCCTTGGTTACTGCTTGCTTTTGAAAGAATAGATTAAAACTTCATTACATGAACTCGAGTGTGAGTGTTGGATACGAGTACTTGAAGAAAAATGAAGAGTCGAGGTAACGTAAGATTGAAAGGTCCAGAAGCTGAGCAAGACAGTCTCTCGTATATTTGCAGTTCTCTCGAATTGGAGCTCCTTATCATTTCACAGTGAAGATATGAGAATTCCATGGGCCTTGTCTTAGAAATGGAAGCAGATAAAGATGATGGTTATCTTTCTTGCATAATGTATATTGACTGCTCGTTATGATCCTTCTTCCCCCCCCCCCTTTTTTGCCCCTTGTATGTTGATATTCACTTTTGTACAACAATCAAGAAATCACATTCCACAATAGCAAAATGAATGTTAATATCCATATTCCATCATAACACTCATGGTGGATAGAGACGAATAATCATTTGTTGTCACGGAATCATAACTCTATTTCAAAAAGACATATGATAGGATGTGTAACGTAATTGTTTATATTACTGATCTTTTATATTCTAGTTGCTATTCAGCCCACAATCTACTAGGGTGTACTACTAGACTCTCTTATTGAATTTGATTCTATTATGATATGAGCCTTGTCATGCTTGATTTTTGATATAGTATATAATCTATGCTGATGATTTTGTAAATGATAGATTTAAATAAGTACTGAATATTCTAAAAGAATTTAAATTCTTACTCTAATATATCAATGTTACACCTTCTGTCCAACCATACGTCCAGATAGATTGAGTAGGGATACCAAATTCTAAAATGAATCAAAGAATGAAAACTGACAAACAATCAATCAATACACCAAACTTTGCATCATAAACTTAGAATACAGGAGAAAAAGTAATTTGCTGCTGCTGCCTTTGCTTCATAAATAAGCTTGGATCTTAATTCTTAATACTTTTCATTGCACTCTTGAAAACTATATGTTGGTGATATCTAAGATCACCCCATCCTCTCCACTTTTCCTGTCTGATATGCTTTTCTTCCATTGCTGCGGTGAGATCAACCAATTGGAGAGGCTAGCATCGACTGCTATCTCTTGCAGAAGGGGCTTTGATTGTAATTGTGATTCTTCCTCTGCTGCAACATTCTCCTTCTGCTTCGGGTAGGCTGCTCTAGCTTTGATGTCTTTCCACTGAGTTGTGTTTTCCACCGGATTCAGCACGGAACATAGATATTGGCTCGTGGTCCTTGCATTCCCATCTGTTGAATCATCCGATTGAATCAAGTCATCTTCCTTTGTTGAATCCATGTTTAGAGATTCAAATTGATCATCATCTTCTTCTAGATCACTTTCCTCATACAACATTCCATCTTCTTCATCATAGCTGTCTCTACAGTTTTGGTATCTGTAGTTGCTTGGATAAACATTCATCTGCAATGAACTCGAAACAGCTTCTCCTCCATTCTTTTCCTTCTCTTCTTCTTCTTCAACACTCTTTAAGAACTGGTACGTAGTTGTTTCTTCATCCGGAATAGGCTCATAGGTTTGAACATTCAAGTTAAAGCTCACTTTCTTCCTGATTTTAGGCTTATTACTGCAATCAACATGCAAATCAGATACCTTTAAAGGTACAATGCAATGTTCACTTCCATTTGAAGAACCTGCAACTGACCTTAGGTGAGATTTTGAGACAAGGGGATCTTCTTGATGTCAACATCTGTAGAATTAGAGGAACCCAAGGGTTCATATCTAACGAATCTCTGCAACAGCAACACAACAACCATCATTAAATATAAAAAAAAATGAAAATTTTCTCTCATTATCCAGAAACACACACGAAAAATGAAAAAACTGACTGAATCTGCAGGTCCAGGGAGAATCCGGTTGGCTGGCTTCCGACGTTTTCTTTTAGTAGAAACCCCAAAACAACCAAGGAAACACCCCATGGTAGAAGCACCAAAGCGGTGGGGAATCAGAAGAGACCCATGGAGAAAAAGAAGAAACAAAAAGAGAAAGTGGAAGGTGGAGCAACGAATGGGAAATGAGATAGTGGGAGTGTTTTTTAAATTTGAATTTTTTTTAGGCTCCAACGGTTTACGAAAAAAAATAAGAACGTTGGAACCTTGTTGATACAAGGGACCAAGAGTGATGAAGGTGCGTTTCAAATATATAATAAAATAACAAGACAGATAACACTTTCTTCTTGTTTTTTTTTTCCAAAAAATAAAAATTATCCACATCTTTGCCCTGATTAATAGAAACATACACAAGGTATTGAATTTAAGATCTACTTGAATGATACTAAGTTACTTATCACTTAAATCAATCTTTGTTACTAACACTTTTTTGTTGTTAAGGTGAATAAACTTCGACTTGATTAAAAAACATTAAATAAAGTTTGAATTATAAAACATGATTCGAATAACTCAACCTTTTCAATAATTAATAGATTAGTTTTCACGTTCAAGTCGAGTCTTTCAACCCTGCACGTTGTATGTTTATTACATATGAAAAAAAATAAAGATATATATATATATATATATATGGTTATAGAAAATCATTTAAATATCAATTTTACCATAATAGTATAAATATGTACAGATGAGTTTAAACAGAAACTTGAACGATTCGACTTAAATTTTATAAACACTACTCAACTCGAAAAATTTTAAATGAAATTTTAGTTATAAAATAAGACTCGTTAATTTAAGTATCTCGAAATTCTTTTACTCAAATTAATTCAACTCAATAAAATATTTACCCTTATCTATTGTTGTTTACATCTGAAAATTACAACCCTCTCTATCTTCACTTCTCTTTAATGCTTTCTTTTCTCTCTCTCTTTCTTTTTATATAAAATATAAAATATATTTTATTTTCTTATACTAGTGGAGTTTATGGATGGGGATGGAGATCTAAATTATGTATGTTAGTGACATTTTATATAATTGTTTAAGTTTAATCTGACTTAAATTTTCAAAACTTTATACAACCCTTGAAATTATTTTTCGATTTAAAAAAAACTCAATTTTAATCGAAATAAATCCTAAAATTATTTTTTTTCGATTTTTCGATACGTCGCAGCATAAATTAAACCACATGAATTGCAACCCACCAAGGTAGTATTTTTTTTATCAATATTACCACAAATCGAATATCTCTCACATAATAGTGAACTTCAAGACATCTGATCGCATGACAGATGATATCACAATCTTTCGGTCTTTAACGACACTTGTTAAGTAGAGGCTGATGCATTTGGCTCCTTAAAAGAGTAAGTGTATTCCTATTATTTTAAATAAAATTGCAACAATTAACTTAAAACGTTAAAAGGAGGAGGAAAAAGGAAATTTACGTATCTGATATTTTTTAAGAAGTATTTACAAATTTAATCCAAATGCTTATAAATTTCAAACGGTAGATTCAATAAAAGTGATTGATAGTACTAAACTGTGTGACAGACTCTATGTATTAAGGTTATCTTTAACTCTCATATCTACTCTATAGAATCTCTATCTCTACTCTAAAGATGAAACAATAATTCATCTCGAGCACTATCTTTACATTACCACCGACTTTACTTTATTCACAATATTTAATTATTATAATATTAATTTTACAAATATAAAATAAAACATATACATTTTTAATAAATATCAAGATAAAAAGTATAGATAAAACAATCATAAATAACATAAAAAATATTTAATCTACTTGAATTTATTATATTATATTTAATTTTTATTTTATTGTGTAGAAATTACAATAAAAAACATAAGAGAAATAATAAGAGAAAGTAATATAACAACAATGATATCACAATCTTTCGGTCTTTAACGACACTTGTTAAGTAGAGCGATGCATTTGGCTCCTTAAAAGAGTAAGTGTATTCCTATTATTTTAAATAAAATTGCAACAATTAACTTAAAACGTTAAAAGGAGGAGGAAAAAGGAAATTTACGTATCTGATATTTTTTAAGAAGTATTTATAAATTTAATCCAAATGCTTATAAATTTCAAACGGTAGATTCAATAAAAGTGATTGATAGTACTAAACTGTGTGACAGACTCTACGTACTAAGGTTATCTTTAACTCTCATCTCTACTCTACAAAATTTCTATCTCTACTCTAAAGATGAAACAATAATTCATCTCGAGCACTATCTTTACATTACCACCGACTTTACTTTATTCACAATATTTAACTATTATAATATTAATTTTACAAATATAAAATAAAACATATATATTTTTAATAAATATCAAGATAAAAAATATAGATAAAACAATCATAAATAACATAAAAAATATTTAATCTACTTGAATTTATTATATTATATTTAATTTTTATTTTATTGTGTAGAAATTACAATAAAAAACATAAAAGATAGAATAAGAGAAAGTAATGTAACAAACAAAAAGAAAAAATAATAAAAGAAAGTAAAAAAAAACAAAAAATCAGAAATCAGAAAAATAACAAAAAAAAATATAATATGTAGCGCAACTACAGTGCAACATCGGTTTTAGCATGTAACTGTCGCCACAATCCAGCATTAAAGTGGAGATGAACTGGAGTTGAAATTCATCTCCAAAGTTGATATTGCAGCCACTTTAGCGATGCGCTGAAGTTGGTCTAAAGGTCAAATACCTCCTAAAAGACAATTTTCATCCAGATACAACTCTATATCTATTCTTTCACTAACCATTAGTTCTCAATTATCTTTCAATGATATATATTATGGTACGACGAATGCAAGATTTTAAAATTTAAATTAGATATTGAATTTGAACTTAAAAATTTTCAGGGGTGAAAATATATTTTTAATAGAAAATACATAAAAAATTTAAAACATAAAATAATTTTAGATTTTTAGAGGGACGATTGCCTCAAACACTCGCTCTAGGTCCATCCCTGGTCATCCAAATTTCTTTTATCTTGCAAAAGTATTTTTCAAGTTATTGTAAACATCAGTTTATACACCATTAAAATCTTTTTCTTGTGAAATATGTCAGTATTGCAAACATAAAAGAATATCATTTGCCAAATCAGATTATACACCATTAAAATATTTTTTTTATCGTTTACAGTGACATTTTTGGCTCTTCTAAAATTAAAAATATTAATGAATTTAGGTGATTTACTTCATTCATTGATGACCATTCTAAGACTACTTAACTTTCTTAATGAGCGGCAAATCTAAAATTAAGATTATTTTCAAAACCTTATACAACGCGATTGAGAGTCAAAATTAAGATTTTTACCTACTCAATTTTTGTCCATGTTATTTTAGTAGCATTACAATCTAAAAACTGAAACTTTGTAATACTTAAAAATTTTGCCCACCAATAACTACTTGGTTTTAATGGAATCAGACACTGTTTTTATTTATTTAATGTTAAGAGTTTAAATCTTGACAATTAGATATGGAGTAAACTAGGTTATATGGATCTGTGCAAAACCTAATCTCGACTAGTTAATCAATAGACTGGAAATCAGTAGTTAAATGGGTAAAATATATAAATAATACCTGATTATAGGCTGCTATTTTTTTAGTCCTTATACTATTAAAAATTATAATATAGTATCTGGACTATAAAACATTGTTTTATCGAGTCTTCTAAATATTAAAAGTTTGAAAATAGTCACACGATTTTTCATATTTTTTAAATTGTTCTTTTAATAGTTAAATAACTTAATAAAATAACATCCTATAATCGATAATCATTTGTGTTCTTTAACATAATTAAATAAAAAAATCAAAGAGGATGACAATTATATCATTTAAGGGAAAACATTATAACCCCTCTTAAGTTTTTCCAATATTTGCAACATCAGTGGTGACTCTTAGGCTTAGTTTATTTTCACTGTGCAACCTCTTCAAACCTCTTATGTCTGCGTCGCGCAGACATTAGGTTTCGCAGACCGTTTGTTTTTTAGAATACAGAAGCTCTTTAAACGTCTGTGCGAGCTCTTCTTGGTGCAGACATGATTTTATGTCTTCAAAGGTCTTCAAAGGTCTGCGGAAAATTAAAATCATTTAAATCTATTTTAAAATATATATTGATTAATTTTTAAAATATGGATTTATTTATTTTAAAATACGGATTGATTTATTTTAAAATATGAGAAAATTTATTTTAAAATATGGATTGATTTATTTTAAAATATGAAAAAAAATTGTTTTTAAATATGGATTGATTTATTTTAAAATATGGATTGATTTATTTTAAAATATGAAAAAATTTATTTTAAAATATGAATTGATTTATTTTAAAATATGGAAAAATTTATTTTAAAATATGGATTGATTTATTTTAAAATATGGACAAATTTATTTTAAAATATGGATTGATTTATTTTAAAATATAGATTGATTTATTTTAAAATATAAAAAAATTATTTTAAAGTATGAATTGATTTATTTTAAAATATGGAAAAATATTTTAAAATATGGATTGATTTATTTTAAAATATGGAAAATTTTATTTTAAAATATGAATTGATTTATTTTAAAATATGAAAAAATTTATTTTAAAATATGGATTGATTTATTTTAAAATATGGAAAAATTTATTTTAAAATATGGATTGATTTATTTTAAAATATGAAAAAAATTTATTTTAAAATATAGATTGATTTATTTTAAAATATAGATTGATTTATTTTAAAATATGAAAAAAATTATTTTAAAATACGAATTGATTTATTTTAAAATATGAAAAAATTTATTTTAAAATATAGATTGATTTATTTTAAAATATAAATTGATTTATTTTAAAAAAAATATTATTGTAGTTGTATGGATTATTTAAATTTTAGTATTATAAAACTAAAATTATTTAAATTTCAGTATTGCAAAACTCTTTTAAGTTTAAAAAATTAGTTTATTTTATATTTTAGTTTATTTTAGCAGTCTGCAGACGTTAAAAAATAAACAGTCTTTTTCTTGCAGACGTAGACTTTTGATCCACCTCTTCTGCTGCAGATGTCTGCAGATGTGATCCGCAGACTACAGACATTTTATCTCTTCAAAAACAATACTACCTTACTTTAGTGTGTCGCCTACCACTGACAATCATTACTTTTCTTTTCTTTTTTTAATTTTTAATAATTATATCTTTGTGCTATATTTTTTGGGTAAATTATATGTCTACTTATTAAATTTTACTCTCTCTCATATTTCACACACTATACTTTCAATTTTTTCAATTTACTTACTAAATTTTAAACATTAAACTATTTTGTCACTCGATTGTTAATCTTGTAACGGCGTTATGACGTGGAATTATGTAAATGATTTTAAGAGTTTAAAAAATATTAATTTTAAAAATATAATTTTTAACACATCAGAAAAAAAATAACAGATACGTCGGAAATAAATAAAATATACTAATAAATAGGGTTGAGTTTTGTAATTTACTCTTTTACAATTTACCACCACCTTTTCTCTTTTCCTCCATTTCACTTTTCTTCTCTGTTTGTTCGAATGGAAAAAAAAAGGAACTTTTGAGTTTGGGGTCAAAATGGAATCTTTGAAGCTTTGATTTCATTAATCAATCCTTTTTGTTTCTTTTTTTTCAAAACAACTTTTTTTTGGTTCTTTAATGGAAACAAAAGCTGAGGAAATTGGAAAGAAACAAGCCATGCAAATGGTGAATCTCCCAAGCGATGAAAATGGTGAAGAAGAGATTGAGTTAAGCTTAGGACTTTCACCGAACTGTTATTTTGGGGTTGACCCAAGAGCCAAGAAGCTCATCAGATCATCTTCAATACCCGATTTCATCAACAACTCAACCGATGGTGGTTTATGGCAGCTTGATTGGGACGATATTGGTTCTAAAAGGGGAAATTAAGATGGTGGTGGAGATGGTGGGGTGGGGTGGAAGAGGGAGGGTGGGTTTGATTAAGATTTTTTTATTTAAATATTACACATCATATTTTAATATTAATAATATATATAAAAAAAACCATATCATCTTGCTCTTATTGAGTAAATATTAGAGTGACAAAAAATATTCAATATCTAAAGTTCAATTAATAAATTGAAAAAAATTAAAAGTATGATAAATGAAATAGGAGAAATAGTAAAGTCAGTGAGTAAGCGTGTAATTTATTTATTTTTTACTTTTGTGACACATTTTTCTCTGTCTTTATAGCACGTGTTTAATCGTTATTTTAGTTTATATTTTTTCTCAGGATTGAATTTGACATCACCATGACTGATCAAAATATCACTTATTTATTATTATACTGATCTTTTCTACTATGAACCATTGGATTGGATTTGGATAAGCGACGACGTTCGTGAATAGTTTTTGTTCATTTTGCTCGATTTTGATTTGCTATTTGTCAATGGACTTTAAGTAGCTTTATCATTTTTTGTATTTTGTTTGTCGATGCGATCATATCTGTTTGTATCTACATTTTGTTTGAATTTTTTATCAAGTTTTTAATATGTTTCTTATATGATTTTTGTGTGATCTTAAGTAACTAATTTTTATGTTAATAATTATAAGAAATGTCTTAACTACGTGGCTATTACCTATTTATGATTATAAATATTTATTATAATTTTAAATATTTTATCTTAATGATAAAACTAGTTATTTCCGTAAAAAAGAAAAAATATTCACATCAAAAGAGTATTAATACATAAAGTTATAGTACAAACTAAAGACGATTTTCCTCAAAAATCATCCTACACCTATATATATTTTTTTAGGCACCATTCATACTATATTTTTTGATCTAACATATTTTTTATAGAAAAGTCTACCCCTACAATGCACTTTAGGTTGATATGGCGACACGTGAGGTAAGACGCGCCCCCTGCAGCGCGCCTTGTTAAACGTATAAAAAATTCAGGTGTTAATTTTGTAAATATTTTTAAACAGATGCCTAATATGTAATTAATTTATGTTAGAGTGATATATGTGTAAAACGCCAATTTTATCTATTTATTTTTTTGTGATATTATTTTTAACGACAATTAATAATGTTTATTGACTTTTAAAATTAATTGTTTAAAAATATTAAAATAAATTTTTAATTACAATTGAAAGATCAAATTAATTATTATTTATTTATTTAAAAAATAAATAAAAATACAATAAAATGAATTAAAAATGACTAAAATTTAATAAAAATATAATGTAAAGCTAAAAAATACCACCTCTTTATTTAAAATATTCTTTCTAATATTATTTTAAAAATATAAATAAAATTATTTTTAATTTATTTAAAATGAATAAACATTATTAACTGTTTAGAACGGTATGATTTGTTTTGGGTTTCATTTCTTTGTTCCTCTAAATCTCAGTCAGTATAAAATGGTTTCTGTTAAATTTGTGTCAACTAGATTATTAGTTTTTGGGAGGGTCAAAATTACAATTTTCCCTTTTAAACAAGAAATTAAATGGAATTAGCAATTATTTGAACGCACTAAAATTTAATTTTACCTTGGCCAAGGCTGATTTTTTTTAAAAGCATTTTAATCTTAGTGATCCGCTTGATGGTTCCAACTTCATCCAAGTTTGTGATTTTTATCTGTGGGTTTTTAAGATTAGTTCACTATTGTAAGATACTATTTTTCTCCAGGTTGAGGTGAAGAGGGCGTTATCAAGAGAGGAGCAACAAACTTCGGCGAGATCTGGTAATGCTAATCAGGGTAGAAATTCTGGAAGTGGTGGTGGAAATATTAGGACCAAGAAGATTTTTGTTGGAGGGTTGCCTCCGACCTTAACTGAAGATGGATTTCGGCAATACTTTGAGGCTTATGGTAATGTAACTGATGTTGTAATCATGTATGACCAGAACACTCAGCGGCCTCGTGGATTTGGTTTTATTTCATTCGACAGTGAAGATGCAGTTGATAGGGTTTTGCACAAGAGTTTTCATGATTTGGATGGCAAGCAAGTTGAAGTGAAGCGCGCACTTCCTAAAGATGCTAATCCCGGTGGGGTTAGCCGGACAATGAGTGGTGGTGGTGGAGGAGGTTACCAGGCGTATGGTGCTTCTGGTGGAAATGTGGGTTCTTATGATGGTCGTATGGACTCCAACAGGTACATGCAAGCCCAGAGTACTGGAGCTAGTTTTCCACCTTATGGCTCATCAGGATATGGTTCACCTGGTTATGGTTATGGTCCTGCTAGTAATGCTGTTGCATATGGTGGATATGGGAATTATAGTGGTGCATCTGCTGCTTATGGTGGCCCTGCAGGTGCAGCTTATGGGAATCCGAATGCTGGTTTTGCAAGTGGCCCTCCTGGTGCCCCAAGAAGTTCATGGGGTACTCAAACTCCTTCAGGTTATGGTACTATGGGTTATGGAAATCCTGCTTCTTGGGGTGCCCCAAATGCCGGTGCTGGTAGTGGTGGTCCAGGTTCAGTGGCTACCGGTCAATCTCCCACTGGAGCTGCTGGGTATGGGAATCAAAGTTATGGATACGGTGGGTATGGCGGAAATGATGGATCTTATGGGAATGCAGGTTACGGTGCTCCTGGAGGTCGTACTGGTGGTAATCCAAATAGTAATTCTGGTTCAGGTGGGGGAGATATGCAAGGGAGTGCTGGCTACATGGGAAGTGGATATGACGATGCAAATGGAAATTCAGGTTACGGAAATGCATCATGGAGGTCCGATTCATCACAAGGTTCTGGAAATTATGGGGGTATTCAGGCAAATGGTCCTCATGGTGGACAAGTCGGTTATGGTGGTGGATACGGTAGTGCTCAGGGTCGACAAGCACAACAGTGATTCCGGGCATTTGAAAGACAACTTGATCATGCCTCTTTGTGACGGTTTCTTGTTCTGGGAGCAACAGTAGAGGCGCAAGTTGGATCTCAAATCTCCTTGGGGCTGGTTGGGTTGCTTGAATCCCAGTAGTTTAAAAATATATAATTTGGCTAGTTATAATAAGTGCTTTGAGGCATAATGGATGCCTTTCTTTGGTTTTGCTATTGAGTGTAGTTTTTAAATTTGGCTTGCTTTGTATTTGTATTCTCACTGCACCGCTACATTAATTATCAAGCTAGTGTTTAAGCAAATATTAGTTAATCTATCCTCTATCTGTTTTGATTGGCCGCTTTGAGTGCTGTATTATATCATGTAGGAAATTTGGTGATAGACAAATTATGCTCAACTTTTGGTATGACGGTAGGGATCTTAAGAAGATGTACCAACAATTTTACTGATAGCAGTGGAGCTATGGGCCACTTGGGTTGAACACTTCGTAATGGTAGCAATAAACGTAGTGGTAGTTGACACTTGAGGACGGCATAATCATTCCCCCCTGTATTTTCCCTTGTGTTGTACAGGAGGATAGATGCTCGAGAGTTCAAAGGTGAAGTCGAAGTGTCCGATCATGGCTGAACCTGAGCCTCATGGTTGTGGTTGTTCTGTTTGGTGTTGCTCAGCTGAATTTTTGAGTTAGCATGGGCGAGGCCCTTTGCCATACAGGTGCTGCAACGCTGCAAATTCTTGGGTTTTGAAGTCAAAAGTCCCCTGATCATCGTTTGAGTTGCGGTGGGGGTTTACTCAACATTTGAATTTGTGAACCAAAAAGAATGTGGTACGTATTGACTCAAAGCTGTTAGCTCTCTACCGGTTCAAAATTACATTATCCCGTGATTAGGGTATCGTGAGAGTGTATCATACATATGATGCCTGATGATTAGAGCATATGAGCGTAGTATGCCCTTTAAAGTTCCCTTCATATTTGAGTTTTGCAAAACATTGAATCCTGGGGCCCTTCTTCCCTTACACTGTCCATAGGCTAAGCAGTTTATCGTGTTAAAATGATTTTATTTTTATTATGAATGGTAGGTGAAATGACCCAATATATCTCCCTAGGCTGTTGATTTGAGTTTTGGTTGGTGAAAACTGGAATGGATTAGAAATAATATAATAGGGTTGATGTTTAGAATATTTTTTCAGTCATTATAACACATACCAAACCGACACAGTTGCTCGAACCTGGATTCAGATTCTTTAGAGAAACATTTCTTTTTACCATATTTAAAGAAAATTACCTTTGATCATTTCATCTCAGAAACTGGAATTTCAATCCTGAAAGAAACTGGAAAATCCATCTTTGATACGGGTTTGGATTCAATTTATTATTATTATTATTTCATTCGTCACTATCCAATATATCAATCATTGTCATTTAAAGGGACGAGACTCATCCATAAAATTTGAGAAAAAAACATTATGGTCTGAGCTCTTCATTGAACATAGCTTCAAATAATTTATTCTCACAATTAAAAATATAATCAATAAGTAAAATGTTGTAACTAAATAAATAATTTATTAAAAGTTAAAAATATGATGACTTCACCCACCCCCAATTTCTGAATCCAAACTTGTTTTAAAAGTATTTTTGGTACCATATATTGCCCGATCTATGAGTTGTAATCCGAGTTTCGGTGAAGTATAGAGTTGTATCTCTAGCTATAGTTTCGGTTAAAGGCTCTTCAACAATGAAGGATGGCGTTTTCGAATAAAGACGACCGAATGCCTAACTCTATGTTTATAATGACCAACTTCAAATTTTCTTTTACAACTTAATTTGGTTCCCTAAAGTACAAATCCAAGTCTGTTGTTTGTACAGCCTTGAATTTCTTTTAAAAATAAGCAGGTCAACTAACGGATTGGACTATCTGATTTTACTCACTCAAATTTTAAAAGGTCACAATTAAAAAAAAATTATCTTCGAATTAATCGAATCGAACAAAAACAAATATTGACGTTTCACTGCATCCTCGACTTCCTAAGCCGCTTCTTTAGTTTTGTAGGTGCGCCATTAAACTTTTACAGACAGAACCATCTTATTACGTTACATTTGCTCTTCTTGAGCCAAAATCTCGACGGAATCCTCCTCATAAGTGAGATCATGTTGAATTTTAATCTCCTCAGCAAACACAACAGGGATATGGATCAAAATGATACATATGAAACATCAATGTATGAAATACGTCAAGAATATGATTTGATCACAAAACTTTCTTCCAAAGAGAAACTTAAGGAAGATTTGATCACTCACATAAAACTTGATATCTCAATGTTTTAAGTTCTTATATAACTTTTTTCTATCAGACGCGATCAGGAGGGTAGAGTCGATTACAGTCAACGGTGCCAGAAGAGAGAACGACCAAGGCGGAAGTGGGAAGACAGCTTGAGATCTGATTTGAAGGATTTAGCCCTTACCGAGGACATGACCTCTGATAGGAAATTATGGAGACTTAAGACCAGGGTAGCCGAGTAGTGCGGGTTACATCCAAAGGGGTATCACCTCTATCTTCTTTTAATGCCTTTGTAGAAATTTCAATGACTTCTACTTTTTATACGTTTCTGTCATTGGAATTTTTGAAGGTTTAGATCTAGGGTAGCTGAGAAATGTTACCTTAGTTTAGGTTTTAACTCATTTGACTTTATTCCTTCTCGTTGCTTGCTATCGTTAACTTCTGTGTATCATTCTCTTCAGGTTTCCTCTTTTTAATTTTAGTCGGGTCTTACGTTTCTGTTTATATGCAGAGCCTTTTTACGCAGGGATTTATTTGCAGGGATTACTTCCCATTACAGACGTGCATATGAAGGCTGTTTCAACTATGCATTTATTTATTTATTTATACATGCATTGCATTTTACCTTTATTTTTAATTTTCTGACTGCCGAAGGTCTTCCACGGAAGCTGCTCTCAACCTGGCATTGGGGGCAGCCTACTACCCTACCTCCCTCTTATCCCATTGCATATGGAAATATGGTTTTGTTGTTGTTGTTTTCTCAAACATAATAGAGTTCTACACTTTCTATCATAGAATGCTTCGAATGGTGTCATTTGAATACCTATTTGATAACTATTACTCCCTCTGTCCCACTAAATGTGTCTCTTTTGGGTTTTAAAATTGTCTCATTCGAAGTGTCTTATTAGAAAAGTCAACAAACAACAACACTTATATTTTATTTTTTACACTTATATCTACTTTTTATACTTATCAAAACAAATATGTCAAATCTATCAATCACATTTTAAGGATATTTTTATCATTTCTCTTGGTCAAATATATCTCCTAAAACTATATGCATATTCAATATCAGACACAAATAATGGAGCGGAAGAAGTATTATAGATAAACTCTTCCAAAATTTTAAAGTGAATCTCGATTCTCTATAAAAAAAAAATCAAAATCATCATATCATGCAATCACACAAAATCTTAAAAATATACAATTTGACCAACTTTTGTAAAGAATAATTGGTATGTACGTTAAAAAAATGCACACTTTTCAAAAATTAATCGGCAATAACCAAAATCGTAACCTGATTTGTTGGAGTTGAAGACAAACCCAAAATAAAATTCCTAATTTTTTCTCTCATTTCTACTCCAAAATCTTAATTAGTTGAAGCAAACTCGAAAGGGGTTGATGCTTTGCCTTCACTCTTTGGCAAACCATGCACCGAAAACATCTTGTTTCAAATCGGGCTGTTAATATATCTCTCAAAGATTATTGTACATCTTATTACTATTGCGATGTATAGAGAGGGGATGCTATGCACCTCAATAAAAATTACATACTGAAACTCTAAATCATTCGACACATAAATCTTACTTTAAAACATAATACAGCATCGCTATCAAAGATGAAACCCTTTGATCATCCTTGCTCAATTTGTTTCACTCGAGCCAATAATGAAACATCTAATGGTTTCTTACCCTTAATTTGTTACAGAAACATCGATTTCACTTGAAGTTTTGCCAGCAATGCCCTATAACCCGACACACTAAGACGAACGAATATGACTCGCAAATATACCATCGATGTTTTACTCAAAGTATCAACTACTATATTAGCTTTACTAGAATGATACTCAACCACACAATCATTATCCTTTAAAAGCTTCATCCAATATCTTTTCTTTAAATTCAATTCCTTTTGAGTGAGTAGATACATGACTTTTTATGATCCAAATAAATGATATTTCTTTTACAATATAAATATGAACGCCAAAATTTTAATACAAACACTATTGATGTATACTACAAATCATGCGTCATATAACTATGCTCGTACAGCTTTAACTGACAAGAAGCATAAGTAATAATATAATAGGTCTAAGGTGTGCCACATTGGGACATCAAAACAACTATCAAATATAAGAGATCAAATATTTGTTGAATCCATTATTATAAATCTTTTTGACTTGAAGAGGGATGCTCATTTCTGTATTCACATAATGTTTTTCTCAACTTATCTGTCAATGCAAACTTGTTTGACACCTTTCAAATATAAAGCCATGAAGAAAAAAACTATAAGAATTACAATAATAAAAAATGGCTGTACCTTTTTCCCATATATATGGGGTAAGGGAATGTAAGATAGTAGGCTACCCCCAACACCAGATTGAGAGCAGCTTCCGTAAGAGACCTCCGAATTATGAAATGTCCTCCGTGAGACTCGATCCCACAACCTCAAGGTTAAAAACCTTGTACTCTACCAACTGAGCTGGATGGTTATTTCATAAGAATTACAATAATATATATATGTTTATTTATAATAGAATTTTAAATCTATCTATTGAATATATATTTGGGTTTCGAGATCATTAACTATTTTTTTCTTTGTGGTTATATGAACTAATTAATTAACTCTTTTTTGTTACATGAACCAATTAACTTTAATTTATGCAGATACAAGATTAACTGTGAATCATTGGACTTACATTGTATATCGAATTTGTGAAGGGAAAAAAAACTCATGCATAAACTATGAGAAAATATGGTTTCTGGTTCAGCTTCTTCTAATTTACAAGTATCAAGACAAATGGTTTCCTTAAACATGCATGCTACAGTCAACCCTGTTCCTAGCGTTTCTGTGACAGGGAAGCCTCTAGCTGTGGCTTCAACCAGCTCTTTATCCTTTGACTCTGTTCATCTAACAGAATATACCAGGCCTATGAGAAGGCTTTATGTAGAAAATGTTCCAGCTTCAGCCTCTGAAAAAGCTATGATGGAATCCTTCAATAATTTTTTGCTTTCATCTGGTATTAATCATATCAGTAGGACCAAACCATGTATTAGCTGCATTGTAAGTCTGTGATATATTATTTCAGTGGTTTATATTTTACTCCCGCTAAACATATGATTGCAACAGAGGAGGATGTCATAACATGCCTTGCAAATTGCAGATACACAAAGGAAAGGGTCGAGCTCTAGTTGAATTCCTTACACTGGAGGATGCTTCTGCAGCTCTATCTTTTGATGGCAGTACTTTCATTTAAATCCATACACATGACACTTCGGGGTATGTGTCTTTGCTTGCTTTGATTCATGAGACATATATTAAGGTGCCATTTGGCACACCGGTGTGGCGCAATGGGGAGCCCTCCCTACCACACTTGACCTCTTATTTTCCACTATGTGCCAAACGTGCCTTAACTACCCTGGATAAATTTTGAACTGATGAAGACTAAAAGGTTTCATTTTCAAACGTTTCTGCTCATTGTGGTGCATTTATGCAATTCAGAGTATTGTTGTACGTCATCTAACCTGCATAACTTCTATATGCTTCTCCTTCATTTATCTAGTCTTGGATAGAATACTTGTAATTTAATTAGTGCTTTCTGTTAAGCCAGAAAGATGCTAGTACATTTCTACTGCTTTGCTGTTTCTGAGGTCTATTGTGGTTACCATCGTAGCAGGTTTTCAGACAGTTGCTATTTTCATGCAGACTGGTGAAATGGAGAAATTAGGAGCAACAATGACCACAATCAATGATATTGTCGAGGATTCACATCACAAGGTATATATATATATCTTGCAGGTTTGGTACTATTTATTTGTTAATGTTAAGCAAGCAAACGGTATCATCACAAATGGAGAAAACAAAATGGATGATTATACGAGGGAAACTGGAAACGTACAGAACGTAGTAGATGATGAAATAAGTGTTGAAACCAAGACTACAGAAGAAGTTGCCGGCGGAAACTCTGGAGGAACTGCCGGTATAACCTGTTAGCAACGTTTTGGACAATGAGTTACGACGACAAGGTGAGTTTGAAGGTAATATTAACAGAGAAGAAAACCATGGGAATTTGGATGATGAGCCAGATCAGCCAGGGGGTTTGATAGCAACATCGCCTTTAAGAGTGAGCCAATAACTAGATTTGAAGAGATCCTCTCCTACTGACTACCCCAAAAGAGGAACCAGACTCTCCATATGACAAGGTTTCTGGTAATATCAGTAATGAAGTCATAAATGTAGATAAGAAGTTGTTGTCCAGATAAGATTCGCACCAGGAGGAAGGTGATGGAAGTCTACTAGAAGCCATCGACGGTTCTGCTGATAGTGCAAAAACAGAAGTAGACTATTGAGAAGGATGGAAAAAACAAGGATGACAACTTGAAACTGATTTTCGAGCATGTTTGTGTGTTTGTTGAGTATAGAAGAACAGAAGCATCATGCATGGTTGCACATTCTATAATACATGGAAGGTTATTTGATAACCGATTTGTGACAGTAGAGTACGTTGATCCGAACCTTTACCGGGTTAAATTTCCAAAATGAATCGGATCACTGCAACCGGAGATAAAACTGCTCCACCAAACTTTTAGCCTCTCCATATGATTATCATTTGAAGCATATTCTGCATGATCATGCTACATCGAGCTTCAGATAAACTAATCAAGGTAATACTTTTTCGAAGTTCGATCGGGTTTGACAAGGAAAAGGACCCTTGGTTGCAAATTTATGAGGGAGGCACTGGCAGGAAGAGGTGCGGAATCTGTCTGACCAGCTTGGTGATGGTCTCTCCATTTGAACTTTTAACTCTAATTCGACATTACTGTAAAAGTAGATATTAGACTTAATATAAAAATAATTGTCTAAATTATACTCAAAATTAATGTCAGTTAACGGATGTAAGGGAGAAAACTTTAAGCACAAAGGACTCAAACTTGAGACCTTACTTAAGCGGAATTAAGCTGCTTACCGCTTGAACCGACCATGTTGGTTGACAATCCATGATATCTTTGATTACATTGCAGATTATTTTGCTAGACATGCAATCAATGAATTTGGCGACCCTAACTTATTCTAATGATTTTTTTAAAAGAAATGGGAAGCTGAGAAATAAGTTCAGTTGGTAAATATTGAATTTTATTAATCGGATAAAAGTACATAAATGATCTCTTGATTATTGACTATTTTAATTGTTAAAAGTTATAAAATACTCACTCGATTATTCATATGTTTTGAACTTGTTCTTTTCCATTAAAAAATTAACAATCGTCTAAGTTGGACGGTAACATATTAATTGAGATATAATAACCGTTTGAGATTTTAGGATAATATTTTATTATATCCCAGTCAGTAAATTAACGTTCAATTCAGATTACGATCAATTTAACAAAAAATTACAAGTTTGGAACATATGAATAGTCGGGTGACTATTATATAACTTTTAATAGTCAAAGGACTCAACAAAGCAACACTCTATAAATAGGAATTATTTTATAACTTTTGATAATCAGGAGACCTAATAAAATAACTTCCTACAGTTAAAGGACTATTTGTGTACTTTACGCTTATTAATTTTGTACTTCAAAGTTTCATAATCCTACCCTTTTCGTTCAATCCACAAATCATCCTTCCTTTTTCTCCTTCGGGCAGATAAGCTGATAAACCAGAGAAAAAAACAATGGCAACATTGGCCACTTTCGGAAGTAGTTCAGCTCCTAGGTTTAGCAAACCAGAGGCTCTAAAGGCAAGTCCATCTCTACAATTTCTGGGTTCTCTTTCTTCCCAACTCTCCGGCATCAAAATCTCCTACAATCTTCCTCCTCTAAAGCCCGTATCCTCTCCTTTCTCTCCAGCTCTCCAGCCTGTTGCTCGTAAATCCTTCTTCTCTTTTCTCTTTTTCTAATTATTTTTTCTATTTACCTTTCGGATTCTATAATTAAATATCTGGGTTGGCTTCAGTTTTGCTTCTTTCTCTTTCTCTGTTTCAGTTATGTAGTATTTCATTGTGGTATTGAAATGCAAAGTTTTGTTATGTGAATAGGTGTTTTTAGAAGAGTTTTAGTGAGAATTTCTGATAATATATGTGGGTTCGTTTACTTGAATGTAAAGGTTAAGTGAAAATGTGAAGTTGATTAGTTTTAAGTTTGCATCTTGGAGAAATATATGGAAAAACATAAGTCCCAAGCTGGCATCTTTGAATTGTTTGCATTTATCTAATTCTAAGCATTAGATAAGATTATAATTTATGGAAGTGAAATTAGAGGTGATTTAATTGACATACAGTCGTTTATCACATTTGTTCATGGTAACAAATTAGTTTGGTCGGTTGGTGATTTACCCTTTTTTATTTAGGCGGAGAGCCGCAATAGAGAATCAGCCGTTGGTCGGTGATCTTCTGTTATATGATGGGGAAGATAACGTGAGAAAGAAGATGATCTGTTTAGATAGGAAACTCGAGAGAAAAAGAAGTCCCTCCCTAATTGGTTCTGTTAGACTTAGGGTAATGATGACGATTCGTAGGTTGATCAGCTAGACGGATCTGAGTCCTACTAGATCACGTGGACCTGTTAGAGGCCTTGTCTATTAAGGGGCGAGTGTTCGGTTGAGTCGTAAAAAAAGTTGAGATATTTGAGTTAACGAGTTCTATTTCGAGTTAAAAGTATATACATTAATCTTCATAATTTTTTTCATATGTGATATATCACACAGAGTTTAGGGACTCGACTCAAACTTGAAAATCAATCTATTAATTGCAAAAAAGTTCGAGTTATTTGAGTTACAATTCGAGTTCTATTTTATTACTCTCAAATTTGAATTTTTTTCGAGTCAAGTCGAGTTTTTTTGAGTTGAGTTGAAAATATCGGTTTGTCGAGTCGAGTTTTGCTCACTCCTATTATCTGTACACTGTGTTTGATTAAGAGACTAATGACCGAAAGATATAGATTCTTTGAAACTGTAGCGAGCGGAGCTATCTATCCGGGATGACTGGAGGGGCGGAGAGTTGGTTGTTTCCGGAGATATCTTCCGAATATAATAACATTCATGTTTGAGCCTGGCTAAAACTAGTTATAGGGATTCTGCCTTGAAAGAATGGAATGAACATACTCTCATCCTCAAACATTTGTTCATTTAAATCAGAGCCATTTAATTGTTTGAAATACAATGAATAGTTAGAGTGATTCATATGTTCGATCCATCATTTTACAGGCAGAATATGCCCTTTTACCGGAAAGAAGGCGAACAAAGCTAACCATGTTTCTTTCTCGAACCACAAGACGAAGAGATTGCAGTTTGTGAACCTCCAATACAAGAAGGTGTGGTGGGAAGCTGGTAAACGCTATGTGAAACTGCGTTTGTCAACCAAGGCGTTGAAGACCATAGAGAAGAATGGACTGGATGCTGTTGCTAAGAAGGCCGGAATAGATCTTCGCAAGGAATGATAAGGTACTTAGTTTCTAGGTTCCGTTCGTAGTTCGAAAACTATATTCCGAGAAAACGAGATTGTTGGTAAACCTTTCCCTAATTCCAATTGTTTTCCTCTTGTTCTGGTTTAAGATGGTTGAAATTTCAGTTGCAAAAATCTGTCCTTTGATGCATGATTACAAAGTGCAACTGCATTGCACATAACTGAGAAGTGTCATCTACTTTGGGAGGGTGCACGTAAAAAATGCAATGGAGGGGAAACTTTTTCTTTCTGTTCCTTTCCAAATAATCACGAGCTTTAAACGAGTTATTCGTGTCATACTCATGTTCGTGTTCACGTTCCAAGTTTTAACACAAATAATCGGTGATTCAGTTATTTGTGTTGTCGAAATTCATCGAGTGAGAAGTATTTCCTCGAGTTGATCCAGTAAAAACTGAGACTTGTAGAGGAACACACCATATAACCTACAACTTCCAGAATTAAGCCGGTCCAACATTTTCATTCACACCATGTTGACCCCAGAAACAATTGCAAACTTTGGAGAATCAACCATCAAATTTGTTTTTGGTTCGTTTGACTTGTACCCATTTTCAGGATGGTCATGATGTACAGGGATGAGAGCTAGGATCAAGGGTTAAGTTGTCTAATATTAGAAGCAATAGGGACCTAATAAATATTTTAATCTAAAATGGGAAACCAGTGCCTTGATTGATACTAAACGGATAGGTCCTTTAGGCTAAAAATGTTTTGGGGCCAGACCCTTTCCGAAGTCTATGTAGTTTCGTGCCCTTGGATACACGTCACTAATCCTAATCAAATGTCTCATGGCTTAGCCAAGTTGTAAAGGATATCAAACTTAAGGATGTCTAGAATTGATCTCTACTATCAATCAACTTAAATTAATCTATCAGTGAATTGTACACAAGTGGTTCTAACAATAGGGTGAATTATGTATTTAGTCACCTAATTATTGTTTTAGTTCTGTTTTGGTCACCTAAATATTTTTTTAAAAAATCATCACTGACATTATATTTTGATCACCCGTTGTTAAAAAAATTAATGGTGATGTTAACATGTCACCATAAGATAATATCATATCATCACTGAAAAAATAAAAAAAATTTCACGTTATCAATGATGATTTTAATGGTCACAAAAATCAAATCAAAATGTATCGTTAATGGTGATTTTGACAAAAAAAAATAGTCAGATGAAGAAAAAAGAGCTAAAATAATATTTAAGTGACTAAATACGTAATCACCCAATGAATAATAATAAACCAGGAATATTTTGGGCTCATGTAAATACCATTAGGCTAGTTAATGGAGAGAGCTTAAGAAGTGGGCTCAAAGTTTAACTTTTGAATAGTAAACTTAATTTTTTTTTTGTTGTTGTTAAATTTTAGTCATAAAAAATCATCATGTTTTAATTATTTATGACAATCCAAATTATACTATTTCTTATTAAATTTATAAAATAAAATATTATTTAATGAATTACAAAATAAGCACATGGAATTCAGGCATGTAACATGAATACCAAGTTTTAAATGAAAGGAATGGGTATATTCTTC